AACGGAAGGTGTGCAAACGAGGGGAAGGAATAAAACAACGGTAGCGTGTCGAGAAGAATTGATAAAGGAAAAGGCCGTAAGTGGAAAAAAAGAAACGCGATCGATATCGTCGGGAAGGAAACCGAATTGAATGGAGCGCGGACAGAAGGGTTGGGAAAAGCGAGGAGCAAAGTTTTCAACGGACGACGACGAACCGTTGGGTAAGAAAAGGTATATAAGACAGGAGATACCACGAATAGTTAAACGATCTAGAAGCGAGTTGACGGACACTGCGACTCCGTACTTTATTTACCGCTTTTCACGGGACCTTTCAAAGGCACGCGTGAAAGAAGTCGAAGGGAGGAAGGGTGTATGCGTTCTTACACACGTGTTGATATTTTCTTCCTGTTGAACTTTCCATATACTTGATCCCTGCAACACCGAGTGTGCGCCCGTGCGTGTGCCCTTTTGTACGCGTGACACATTTTATTTGATACTTTGAATGGCATGTGTTACATCGGGGGACGTTAAAAAGACACACGGTGACCGTGTAATTCGATAAAAATACACCTGACGAGGGAGAACGGCGTTTAAAAGCGGAGGGTGTAGACTTTTTTTTTACAATAAATTACTTACTCTATTCTCCTAGTAAATTACTTATTTTTATTATTAAATTACTTACTTTTCTGATAAATCATTATCATTCTTCTTCACGGTGAATATCAATACATTTCGTGCAATGTTATTAATAATTTCATTAAATATTTTATTAATGTAACGCTATTATAACTTCAGAAGCTTAGCACAAGTAATTTTTCATTTTATACTACAAGATCGTGCTCTCGCAAATGTTTTCCGCGCCATCTTGCGAATCACATTGCCAGCACGCAACTGACGCTTTCTTTTTTCGTTTCTATTCTACGCAACTTCGACGTATTTATTATAAGTTTATATAATCACTTTTTGCGGAACGCTCTTTACCGCGTTGCGCAACATGTTTTTATTTCGACGATATTCCCCCTGTCAGGATCGCCAAATTTGTCAAGATTAATCTCGAAAGGTTAAGCCGAGGACTCGCTTATAAGGAAACCACCCTTTCGTGTTTTAAAAAATTGTCCGAAGAGAAAATCGTTTATGAGATGCCAAGTACAATTTATATTTGTTTTCATAAGCTGATTTCAAAAATGAAATTCTTTGTTCATTATGGAGTTTATATAAATTAAACCATTAATATCTGATACAAAGTCTCATAGCTGTCTCATTTAATATGTTTTATAATGAAGGTCCAGAGGATCTCATAGATTTGTACAATTTATTTTCGACGAAGTCATTCATACCTTTCGTTCATATATTTATAGTACAAGTGTATTGAGAAAAATACAGACATAACAGGTGGATTTGCAGAATCGCAAAAAGCGAATTAATTATTCCACAACGAAGCTGTTGAACATATTCGAATCGAAATTGAGAATGCGAGTGCGAATAATTAATGAGGGAAATAACGATACGGTATCGAGCGTTCGTACAAAAACAAGCGATCGGAAATAAAACATAGCGTTCGAGGATTGACGTCGAATGAAAGTTTGATCGAATAATTTCAGCCGGCGAATCGATCGCGTCAAATACGACAGAGCGATTTGCAAGCGTTCCCGCCGTAATTGAAACTCCTTCCCTTTCGTTACGGACATAAAAAAACATGAACTGCTCCCCGACGCGATCACGATTATGCCTGTTGGGTCTTACCTCATCGCGGAAGTCACGATACGAATCTACCTTACGATTTGTCGCGATCGTCTTTAGATAGCGGACTTCCTGCGCGTTTGGCTGCTAGCTCGTCTAAGTGAATCAAGGTTACCCGATCGAGACGCGATTAACGTTTACTGGCACACACGAAACGTGCAACACGACACGGTATAATTGTGTTCATTCGGAATGCGATAGTTACAGTTTTCGATTAAATACGGTAATCGATCGATCAACTTCGAAGGGACGTGATTCGATCAGATAGAAGTGCCGTAAATTGACATTTATGCAATATCAATTTGGAACTCCGAGTTTAACGAAGATAACTAGACAAACTTGTCGCTAATAGCCGCGATACAAAATGGCTGATTGCCAGTTACAGGAAACGATAATCATTTTGGAAACGCGTAGCGTCCGACACAATTTGCTCGCATAAAAGCACCACCAAACGGTATTTATAGTGTATTAATTCGTAGCTCGAAGTTTTATGAAAGTCACTATATAAACCTTTCATCAATGGCCTAATGCTAAATGGCGGGTTGCCAGTTGCAGTAAACAATGACCAGTTTGGAAACAGGCGACACAATTTCATAACATAAAAATATCACAAAGTGGTGTCTATGTTGCATCTATGTAGGTCTTGAATTCTACAGAAAGCTGTCTGAAGCTTTTGATAATAGTCTGATTGTTTACATCGAATAATTTCGAATCATGTAACATCTTACAAAATTTTGTAACAGAGAAGTATAGAAGCTTACGATCAATTTGTAAGTTGAATACTGAAAACGATTACATAAACGTTTCCCCAGTATTGATACAACTTAGCTTTCTTGTGAATACAACTAATCAACTGATTTATAGCTAATTGTTAGCACTGTTTATTAGCGAATATCCAATGTACATTATCTATAAAAAAATTGGAATTTTCTATATGTTCAGAGTCTACGGTTTTTCTGTTGTATATTTTTTTTTGTGAAATACTCTGTACGGAAAAATACAAGGTACCCGTTCTTTTCCTTTGTAAGCCGCTTCAAACATCTTTCTTAAACAATGGTATTCATAAACCTGATAGAATTGTATTATTCAATAATAATTACTTTGAGTACTTTATCCCCAATGTATTAAATAGACAGTAATATTTATATACTTACGATAAAAAGTCTGCAGAATAAACATAAGTCATTTAATTTATAGATTGGATCTCGTAGATTACAGGATTTATTGCGCAGATCTTGATAATCGCAAGCGTCTGCAGTCTACTCGACATCGCTTAATCGTAATCTTTAACCATTAATTAGATTACTATCTCTGCTCTCCACGTTTCGAAACGCGTCATTCGATATGTAAGCTTAATAGTATGTCGTACTAGATACTGGCTATTTCTACTGTGGCGGCCGTGTTACGGCGTTGACCGCCACAGTAGAAATAGTCGTGCGTGGCAAGACACGCTATAATTGACTGTCACTTTATCCTTCATAATTATAACATTAAATAATTTGTCGTAATACAAACAATGTACACAATTTCAACCGCATACATCATGTACATATGTATTCATATTTCATTAAATTCATATGAGAATGAAGATCACGTAGTGTAAATTCAACGGATTATTTTAACTACAGTCGAAGATTTATGAATTGCACAAACAAAAAAGAGAACAAGCTGTATTTTCATCATCCTCGTGTATCACGTTGGAAGAGAGCATCGTCCAAATTCCTTTTTCTTTCCCGAGCAATTCCGGAGCTCGCGAGAGAAGTGGCTTCCGATAACTTCCCGTTATCAACGTCGTGGTCGGTGAAAAGCAAGAGCACAAGTGCTAGGAAAAAAAGTAATACATATATACGTGAAGTTGTTCGCGACACGTCGAGGTCTCGCGTCCTTGCCAGTTACCCCTACTATGGTAGTCGGAGTGGGATTTATCCCCCACCATGGTTGCATCTGTGACATCCCCCACTTTTCGACCATTTCCCCCGTAATGCGGCGCAATATGTAAGAGGCCGCACATGTTTCCCCGCGTTTCAGTCTCGCAGCGGCACTCGCGAGTGACGGTTCGTGTGAACTGGTGTGACGATAAACGTGGACTAACTAAAAAATAATAAAAAAAAAAACACGTTTGCTCACAGAACGAAGGACATTACAGGGACACGCGTGTTATACATAATATATATGTATACCTATATGTCGCTGTAACAAATATATATATACCGTGTTTGTGTGTGCGGTAACGCGTGCGCGCAAAGGACGAGTTTCTTTCGTTACGGTGCTTCGTTCGAGAACTGACACGACACACTGCGAACGTCGTTGCGACAAGCAGCAACGGGACAGAATCATATCTTACCTTCCCAACGTCCACGTCTTTCTTTTTTTACTTTTATACATACGTAACGCGTCGGCGAAACGGAGCCGCCATAACCTATTTTCGACGTAACGCGAGTCGGAGTGAGAATTGCATACTTAGCGCGAGTGACAGCTTGTTCTCGTTTTTTTTCTCGAGGAGTTACGACCCATAAAAGGACAAAGGTGTGATACAAGGAAATATTTGGTGCTCCTTGCAGGAAAGCTGAGTGTGGATAAACGTCGAGGATATTCCGAGGGTGTTACGGAACTTGTGATCTTCCACTGACGTCACTTGGTGCTTTCGTGCCTCAACGGAGGAACGAGAATAGTGTGTTAACTGGCCTGACAGAGACACGTGAGTATTTCAACTTCTCTATGACCATCTAGATCAGTCGCTTCCGAAATTCTAACACCGTAGATAGACTATTTTTACGTTCTTATATTTAACGACTCACCAGCGAAGCTCTGATCTGGATGTTTCCTTACTGTCGCCCACTCCACTTAACCGTATTGCGATCATACGTGCACTCCAATCGAAACCTGTTTCTTTATCGTTCGTACACACGCGTCACACGATAATTTATGCGAACAACGTGTCGCGATATACCAATTTTATAACGTGTCACGCGAGCGGACCGGTTAGCATTGTTCCCGCGCTGCTACGTAATCACTGCACCTGATTGGCCGCCGCTGATCGATCACGGCGCGCTATCGATCTCGCGCTTCGATATATCGTCGATTAACCGCTTAACGGAAGACAGGGACGAAATAATTCAAAATTTACACATGCAATTATATTCCTCCGTATATTTTTCTTACTATAACATTAGACATTAAAAAACATATAAATATAATAGGGAAGTGTATAAAAATTTGCGTAATTTTAAAACGAACTAAAATTTTCGGAGTTATAGGAGGAACTTTTATTTTCGTACCGTGTTTGTGTGTGCGGTAACGCGTGCGCGCAAAGGACGAGTTTCTTTCGTTACGGTGCTTCGTTCGAGAACTGACACGACACACTGCGAACGTCGTTGCGACAAGCAGCAACGGGACAGAATCATATCTTACCTTCCCAACGTCCACGTCTTTCTTTTTTTACTTTTATACATACGTAACGCGTCGGCGAAACGGAGCCGCCATAACCTATTTTCGACGTAACGCGAGTCGGAGTGAGAATTGCATACTTAGCGCGAGTGACAGCTTGTTCTCGTTTTTTTTCTCGAGGAGTTACGACCCATAAAAGGACAAAGGTGTGATACAAGGAAATATTTGGTGCTCCTTGCAGGAAAGCTGAGTGTGGATAAACGTCGAGGATATTCCGAGGGTGTTACGGAACTTGTGATCTTCCACTGACGTCACTTGGTGCTTTCGTGCCTCAACGGAGGAACGAGAATAGTGTGTTAACTGGCCTGACAGAGACACGTGAGTATTTCAACTTCTCTATGACCATCTAGATCAGTCGCTTCCGAAATTCTAACACCGTAGATAGACTATTTTTACGTTCTTATATTTAACGACTCACCAGCGAAGCTCTGATCTGGATGTTTCCTTACTGTCGCCCACTCCACTTAACCGTATTGCGATCATACGTGCACTCCAATCGAAACCTGTTTCTTTATCGTTCGTACACACGCGTCACACGATAATTTATGCGAACAACGTGTCGCGATATACCAATTTTATAACGTGTCACGCGAGCGGACCGGTTAGCATTGTTCCCGCGCTGCTACGTAATCACTGCACCTGATTGGCCGCCGCTGATCGATCACGGCGCGCTATCGATCTCGCGCTTCGATATATCGTCGATTAACCGCTTAACGGAAGACAGGGACGAAATAATTCAAAATTTACACATGCAATTATATTCCTCCGTATATTTTTCTTACTATAACATTAGACATTAAAAAACATATAAATATAATAGGGAAGTGTATAAAAATTTGCGTAATTTTAAAACGAACTAAAATTTTCGGAGTTATAGGAGGAACTTTTATTTTCGTTTTATAATATGTGTTAATATTTGCATAATTTTAAATCGAACTAAAATTTTTGAAATTATAGGAAGTATTTTTATTTTCATTTTATAATATGTGTCAATATTTGCATAATTTTAAATCGAACTAAAATTTTTGAAATTATAGGAAATACTTCTTTTTCGTTTTATAATATGTGTCAGTGTTTGCATAATTTTAAGTCGAACTAAAATTTTTTGGAGTTATAGGAAGTACTTTTATTTTCGTTTTATAATATGTGTCAAAATTTGCATAATTTTAAATCGAACTAAAATTTTTGGAGTTATAGGAAATACTTTTATTTTCGTTTTATATTCCATGTGCGAGTTTACAAATAATCGTAAAAAGATTAACCAGTATCTTTTCCCGTGTCATGACGCGACATAAATGGTTCGTAAAATAGATAATTTAGCAGTAAGTTAAAGCTCGTCTGTTTGACACTGTAAATCAGTGAGTTGAAAAATTTGGAAAATTCGGCATTGAGTCCTCGAGGACGCGAGGGGTTCGTTTTTCTTCAAGGTCATCGCGACAGAACGATCTAGAGCAAACTAGAGCTGACTCAGTCTCCAGTTGTTACATTGAACAAACACGCCTATTACGACAAATTACATTAAGGTCGCAAGCATCGTTGGTAACGTTTTTCCTATCGCGAAAACGGCGATTTCCATTCCGACGTGACTCGCTCGCGGTTCTCGAACAAGATCAACGAATTAGGCGAGGGTTTAGTTTAGTGGGTCAAAACGTAGCACGGATTTCGTTTATTTAATTACTGCACGGGATCGGCTGGGTATTGGTTACGAAAATAGCGCGATAATAATAGCAAGGTCGCAGACACTACTCGAGATGGCGTGACGCATCAGCGAGCGAGTCGCGTTTAACGAATTAATTAATTCGAACGAGTTGATAGACTAATTGCCCGTAAAAAACAGGAGCGTAAACTTTGTTCTTGTTTACGCGGTAATTCCCACGACATTGCTTTCATTCGCGGTAATTATTCGACTTTCCGATCATATTTTTGGCTATGACTAATCGAAGTCGAAAGAATATCGTTTTAACGATTGTTTCATGTAGTACAAGTTGGAAATATTTTTAAATATTTTATGTCGTATATACGTCTCGACCGTTTTACGCTCGATGGCCATCGTTAAGCCACGTGATCAACGAGGAAAGTTCAAGCCTAATTATATGCTGGTTAAATATTTCCTCAAACGTTCTTGAAACGCTTTCGCGTATCTTGATTTGCGTCGTTCGCGCTCTTGAATACTTGTTACGGCATATTATCACGTGAGAATTGTGTCCATTGACAAACATTGTGCATAGAGAACGAACACATCAGAGAGTTTAATTAATATCTTTTCTCGATCGTTGAAACGACTTCGATGTATCATTCAGTGTACACCGAGAGAGCAACGGATACACTGAATATTTAATCTGATTATATTTTTACCTGTATCAGGTTCAGAAACGTTGGTGTATTTCCGTCGAACAATAAAAGTTATTTCAGGAAAACGATCCTCCTCCGCGCCGTTCAATTTGTTTCCCCTAAAATAAAAATAAAGGTAACACCGTAACCGTCGGGGCTGTTTAAATAAAAGCCGCATGAGTCGATTAATCGTCGTTCCGTTTAATTAGCCATCGTTTGTAATCGTTAAAAATTGCAGCGATACAAATAACCGTTCCGAAACAAACAATTTTATCGGCGAACAGTTTCCCCCGCTATCGCGAAATCGTTTTCGAACGATAGCGATCGCTATTTCCCGGGGAGTTCGAATTTTTTCGCGATTCGAGTCACGCGAATCGAGGAAAACGGAATTCAATAGTCCCATCGATGATAGAGCGAAACGAAAAGGATGGAGAGGCAAACGAATTATCCAACTCGTGCCGTCCATCGAAATCGGATTATCGTCGATTCCTCTGCACCCTCTCACCGCCCCTCCTCGTCACACGAGGGGTGTATCGATTTTCGACCCTGTATACCACCAACTTATTTCCCTCGTGCCGTAAACATTCGGCCCTAAGCATCCGTACCGTGGATTAATCACGGTTTAATTGGAAAATCTCGCTCGGCAAATAAAGCTTTCGAGGCCCGTACAAACACGTCAGCTCGATCTGGACACCGAAACCACCCTCGTCGCCGCTTCTTCATCCGAGAATGTCCGGGCTCTCGATATCTTTGCTACTTCTGATATGAAGTCTTAAATCGATTTCAAAATTTGATAGACCTTTATCAGCAGTTTCAATTATTTTAGGCTATCTTTGTCAGTTTAAATTATTTGAGGCAACTGGACTTATGTGGACAAATTTGGAGATGAAAATTGGGGATGAAAGGAGGTGAAAAATTAAATTCATAATTTTACAAACTTCAAAATTATTTTTACAAAAGAAATAGTGTATTTGGTGATGTCTTTTAATTTCTCGTAGGATCGACAATAAATGAATTATTATAAACTTGAGCTACAAAAGCTGTATAAATTTTACAAAAACATCATATCAGATATCTAAGGAGTTTCAATGAAATGTTCGCACAATATAAACATTTAATATCGTATTAAAAAGATAATCAATATTATCAAAGTTTATGTTGATCATTTTACAAATTTGTATCTTCAAGGTAGCATCGAGTCCATTCATTTTATTTAAAGAATAAATTTTATTCTTTTTAAAGATGTCTAAGGAGTTTCAATGAAATGTTCGCACAGTATAAACATTTAATATCACATTAAAAAGACAACCAATATTATCAAAGTTTATGTTGATCATTTTACAAATTTGTATCTTCAAGGTAGCATCGAATCCATTCATTTTATATAAAGAATAAATTTTATTCTTATTAAATAAATGTTATTAAAAATAGCAGTCAGAGTATGTATTTTATTAAAGTAGTCTTAATTAAAGATACTTAGTGAATTGTTCTAAACAATAATCGCGATTTCTAGCGAAGAAGCGTTCAGCAATTTGGAAATTAGTTGAGCTGGTAATCTCGCGAGAGGGTCGAGAAATCGTTTGATAATTAAGGGGTTCGTCTAACGTTTCGCCGGTCCGAAAATTAATATGCCGTTATTGAAAACGGAGAATATTCTCGACGGTAATAAATTCTGTCTCCGACGTTTCTCCACGACGAAAGAGAGATTAAACGTAGTCAGGGTGGAAAAAGGAGACGCGAAAGGGGTTTTGCGGGGGTGGTTAGGCGACGGGTTTAGTTGGGTATAAAATCAATCGTGCTCGGTACGCAGCAGCGAACTCCACGCCTCTTTCGTAATTAGTGTCCTCTGTTAATTATCGCGCGACGATTCGCTCGCCCCGCGGACCCTTTCCATTATTGTAGCGGCACGAACGCGCCGGAAAAGCGATTATTGGAGATTGCCAGTGCGTTTCGACGTGATTAACCGTGGCCAGGGTACTACACGTTGTTTCGACAATTTTTCCTTCCAGTAAATTTATGCTGGTATGCGATCTAAGTCTTTAATAGAAATTTTGAAATTTAGGCTGCAGGAGTAATTTAAGGGATGAAATGACGAAATGAAATTTGTACACGCTTCTATATTTCCTAAAATAACTTAGGAAATTTATAAAATTGTATTTGTATAAAATTGTAGTTTTCGTCAGATAAATATCTTTGTTAAACCGCCATAAAAATTTAGTCGAGTAAAAATAGCAGGTCATAAAAATTTACCAATTTTGAAATTTAGCAGCTTACAAATTGAATAGTGTATCTGATAGCGGTAACAACGAGGAAGAGTATGAATGTGATAGTATTAATATTTTTAAGAGGATAAATTTGAACGTGGAGTTCGTAAGGAAGCTACGAGATCGCAAGAATCGTAGATCAAGGTATTATTTAGGAGAAAATAGGAAACAGAGAGCGGTTTTTCATCGTTTACCTCCTCGAAAGCCGCATTTAACAGAGAATAGATTGAAACAAGGAACCGTGAAATGGAGGGAAAGCAATTCGCTCTATCCTGTCTCGACAGTAGTTTCTGCGAAACACGTTTCAATTAAATTCCAGAAAAAGATCGTTCCATTTCTCGCTAGCTGACCCTGTTGTTTTCAGTATCGAACAAAAAGCCGTACACTGAAAAAACATTTGATCTCCTACCTTTTTTTGGGACTCGCTAGCAATTAAAACGTTCTCGTTTGTGCGTTCATTGGAAAACGATTTCATTAAACATATCAATCCAGCGTTATTCTTTTTTCTTCGACGCTGATTTACGGGCTTAAACGTTTCACTTGTTGTTGCTATTTTTCCGCTGACCGATCGGAATGAAAATTCAATCTCGCCCAGGGGGGTTTTTCGCTAATGCCTTTGCGAACTGCCGTAAAGAGGCGAGCGTGAAAATACGAAACACAAATTCCGACCAGGGGAAAAATGGAACGAGTTTCTCGCTGACGCTACAATTCATCCTAACCCGT